GTTCAAGGCTTGCAACCTCCTCACTGCACTCTGTCTGGCACCTTGCTTATTTTTTTTTTAAAATTCACTTAATTGTTTCTTCATTTTTAGTTGATGTCTTCTGTTTTGTCTACAAGAATATTGATTTTCAACATCCTTAGTTCTATTGCTGTGACTACTGTATCCCTTAACTCCTTCAATTCTAATTGAATGCTTTAATGTTTTGCCTCAGTTTTTCTTCAGCTCAGTGAAGAAATTGCTTTTTCCTCATTTCAATTCCCATTGAGCAGAGACTGTTCTGAGGTCATGTTGGAGCAGTATCTAGAGTTTGGATAAACGTAGAGACTTCTGTCTCCATGTACTGAGGCAGCTGAATTCCTTTGTTTTCTTATTATTCCTAATGCTTTGTTGGAGCTACGTGTGGAACTGAAGTAGAGGATCTAGGGAGTGGATATAGGCTTAGTAAGAATTCGTTTGTTTTGGAGCCACACATGTCAGAAGTTAGGGCTTCCTCCCGGGTCTGTGCTCAGGGATTTCTCCTGGTAGTCCTTGGGGGACCATATCCAGCTCCAAGGAGTGAACTGCTGTCAGCTACATGCAGAGCAAGCACCCTGTTTGCTGTACTATCTCTCCAGACCCCCAATACATTTTAAAAATGATACTGTGTTTTATTATTTCTGTTTTATTGAAATCATGTACATGTTATCATTAATATGTTTGATATATTATTAATGTGCTTTTTATCTTGAAAATATAGGCTGCAGGTGATATTGTTGATATAAGAGAAGAAATTAAAAGTGACTTTGAATTTAAAGGTAAAATGTTTTATGTACAGTTATTGTATTTGTCATCGTGGTGAATTGATTTTCAAGGAGTTTCCTGTATAATTTTTGGGATTATATGATGAGATTCTTTATAATAAGGTAGAAATACTTTTTTTAAATAAAATTTTCTATAAAATTGTCACATATTTAATAAAAAAATTTAAATTATGGTTATCGTTTTTGTTTGGGGCCACAAACCCAGTGGTGCTCAGGGCTTACTTCTGGCTCTGTGCTCAAGAATCACTTTGGCAGAGCTCTGATGTGCTGGAGTTTTAACCTGGTTCTAACCACATGTAAGGCAGGTGCTATATGTCCTGTACTGTACTGTCTCTCCCCCTTCTCTCTCTCTCTCTCTCTCTCTCTCTCTCTCTCTCTCTCTCCCCCCACCCCCCACATGTAGTCTGTCATGCTCTGGGGCTACTGACATGCTCCTTCCTGGGGGACCTAGTGCTGTGAATCTCACCCTAGGCATCCCACATCCAAATTACGCACTCTAGCACTTCAGAAGTAAAACTTAAAGAAATTTAATATTTTTAATGGTAAGCAATAATGATTAGTAACTTTTGATGGAAAATTAATTTCTGACTGATATATTTAATAGGCGAGATAATATAGCTTTCTCCAAGTTCTTTTAATGCTCCAAATGTCTAAAACTTAGAAAATGTGTATTCTGTACATGGTTTTGTATTCCAGATTTGATTTTTGTTTGTAGGGATATTTTGACACATAGTATATGTCTAGCTTTGCCTCATTTTAAAGCTGTAGTTTTGGAAATAAGCTGCTGTTTTGGAAATAACGAATGGATATAATCTCAGCATATTTTCCTGCTCTGTGTTTTATGTGCTGTCCACTGAAGTACCATACATAGGCTGCTCTCATGTTCATCTTAACAGCTTTCTGTAGCCAAGGTTAGATTATGGGTGGGGATTTATGTCTATAAAAATGATGGTTCTTTTGTCAGTTGTAAAAAGTTACAGCAGTGAAGCTTTAAAAATTAAAAAAATATATACAAGTGCCACAGATAATTATAACTTTAATTAAAAATTTTTTAATTATAATTTGAAAAGTTTTGTAATTTGCTGCTATAGAAAACTTAATATTTACTTAAAAATATTTTACTAATTGGCAATAATTGTAAAAGCAGTCATAACAGATATTAATATATAATTATATCATAATAAACACATATTCATGTATAAATATAACATATAGCCATTTTTATATAATAAACAAATTAATGAATACATTTAATATACAGAATTGTTAATTTTTAACAATATTTTATTAATGCTCTCATGGCTTGATAAAAATATTAGAAACCATATTCTAGCTATCCTATCACTATTGATGTGTCTCACAAATAATAGTGACTTTAAAAGATAATTCAAAGGAGACATATATTGTTTCAAGTGTAGGACGAATTATTATTTTTGTTTGAGGTAATCAAAGATTTGATTTATGTACTTTATATACTTTATAGGTCTGAAAAAAATTTTGTCTTCATATAGTAATATTTGTTTTTTAATAATACTACAGAGAATAGACTCTGAAACAATTTTGATATTTTAAACTTAAAAACAGTGCTGTAAACTTGAATATGTGATTGAGATCATCTGTTATGTCAATGTCTCAACAGCTTTTCTAATTTCTTCCTATAATCTTTTAAGTTTTTTTTTAATCTTTAAGTTTTGTGTTAGAAATTTTTTTTAAATAAAATCAAATTTGTGTGAGTTAAGATTTTATCTCTTGCCCTCACATTAAGATTGCAAGTAAGATAAAGTAATTTTAAAAGTAGAAACGTTTTTATATAAATTTATAGTAGAAGTGTTTGGGGATTAGCCTACATAGATTTCTTCTCAGGTATTCATACCTGACAGTGACTTGGAGTTGAAAATATCTCAGTACTCGGCTTTTATGTGTTACTTTACTGACTGAATTCTCTTGAGTAAGGATGGAAATGGGCATTACTCATGTTAAATTTTGCACTGTAATGGGTAAATTTTGAACATTTTAAAGATGCTGATGCATTTTTGAAGCTTTCAATAGCTCTTCACAACCTTTAATGTGTATGCAGTTCCTCTGGGACTCTGTTTAAGTACCATTTCTGATTCAGCAGGTCCAAGGAGTCCCTGAGAGTAAATACTTGGGAAATGTTCTCTAGGGATGCCATTACTGCTTCCTTGGACCATACTTTAACTAATAAGATTCCTGAAGTTCTCTTGGTTTAAAAAAAAATTGTTCCCTCTTCTTTATCAACATCCATGTGCCTCAGTAAGTCTAGATTTATTCCCTTTTAAAGTTGATTAGTAAAGCTCTCTCTTTCTCTCTTTTTTAATAGCTAAATACCGAATTGCTCATAAACCTCACTCCAAACCCAAAACTTCAGATGTTTTTGAAGCGGATTTTGCAAATGCTATGAAATCTGATAATTTACTTGCTGATAAGGAACTGTGGGATCGGCTTGAAGAACTAGAGAGACAAGAAGAATTGCTGGGTGAACTTGATAGGTATATAATGACAAATGATATTTCCAAGAGAATTAAATTTCATACCCCTTATTGATCTTTTTTCTTGTTAGTAGAATAGTATATGCTTATTGAAGAAAATAAATATAAGTGCTACCATCCTAAAATAAATATTGACTAGAATATTTTTGATATGTGTTTTTATATGCATGTATATTTACCGAAGTGCTTAAAATCAACCTTTTATAGTAAGGTTTTTGCCGTATTTTATATAATGAAAACAGTAAAATATACCAGATAGCTTACTTTTAATAGTTATGGTTGTCTTATATATTTGGGGGAGGGGTTGGGAGGGTTGGCCAAATTCAGTGATGCTCAGGATTTACACCTGGCTCTGCACTCAGGAATTGTTCCTGGTGGTGCTCAGGGGACCATGGGATGCCAGGGATCAAACCCGGGTTGGCCACATGCAAGGCAAGTGCCCTTCCAGCCACACTATCATTTGGGTCCCTATATTATATTTAAATATAATGTTTTTGTACTATAGTCAGGAATATGCCATATATTTGAATGACTTATAAAAATATTTTTGCTTTGAATTTAAAATTGTTACTGTAGAATGTTTATCCTTTATTTTCTGTTTATTGAGCAGGGAGTTTGTAATTGGGTCAGGCAGTTTATTTTTTAAAAAGTTATTTTTGAGTGTTGAATGTGATTTTTTTGGTCATGATTCTCTTATTTTTCCATGGTGTTATTTCAGTTTTATTTCTTTTGGTGAGGGAGGGTGGGGGGTTGGGGAGCCATTCCCAGTGATGCTCAGGGCTTACGCCTGGCTCTATACATAGGGATCACTCCTGCATGGTCTTCAGGAGACCATATGGGATGTCGGGGAATAGACCTGGTTCAACCGTGTGCAAAACAAGTACCCTATCAGCTTTACTATTGCTCTGGCCCCGTACAACAATTTGAGTCTCAAGAACGGGTGGGGTGGCGGGAAGGAAACTGGGGACATTGGTGGTAGGAACTGTACGCTGGTGGAAGGATAGATGTTGAACATTATATGAAACCCAATCATGAACAACTTTATGACTGTGAATCATAGAAGCTTCTAAAATATTCTGAGTATAGAAATAGGAGTTAATTTTGGGTTTCTAAGTAGAATTTTATTTCTATTATGATCAGTATCTTTTATATAAATGAATATAGCAATATTATATTCTACTTAAGATTTTGGGACTGGAGAATATAATACAGAATATAATGGGATTTGTCTTGTGCATCTGGCTGACCCTGATTTGAATCAGCACTGCTACCTGTGGTCCCCTGATCACAGAGCCAGGAGTAAGTACAGAGCACTGAGCACTACTAGTCATGCCCCCAAACCAAAAATTTATAAAATCACTGTATCACTGTCATCCCATTTGTTGATTTATTCGAGCAGGTGCCAGTTACGTCTCTATTCCTCCCAGCCTGAGATTTTAGCAGCCCTTGGAGGCTCTTTCAGGGTCAGGGGAATGAGACCTGTTGTTGCTACTATTTTTGGCATATTGAATATGCCATGGGGAGCTTGCCAGGCTCTGCCCGTGCAGGTGGGAGGGATACTCTCGATAGCTTGCTGGGCTCTTCGAGAGGCATATATTCATTGCCTACTGTCTGAACCCCATCACATATGGTGTGGTAATTATGGAAAATGGGTAGGAAGTGTCTTATAATGTGTAGCGCAGCCATGGTCTGGAGCAGCCTAGAGTGTGGTGGCAGTTGGGTAGTGTTGGTCGGCTGCTGGGGCTGGGTCCCTTGGGGCGCAGAGGGCTCTCACCCGCCCCACTCTGGGCCGCCCCTAGTGAAAATAGCCTGGTATGGAGTCCGGATTCACCAAGCTTGTTCATTTAAAGACAGAAATTAAAGAACGGCAAAAATTCATTTAAATGACATTTAAACTCTGGATGTCAGTGCAGCCAAGAGTATGGACCAGTCTTTCCCTTAGTGGAATGGACCATAGTCCTTAGGGATGGTGGGGTGCTGGGACAACCCGGGGGTTTCAGAAGCCTGGGTACAACTGGGGGTGATGTTTTCTGCCTGGCCACTTGAAAAGAATGTAGACGTTTGGGAGGCAGTGGGGTTACCCCATAGCACTGCTTTTCCTTCCTGAAAAGGGGGCAGTGGGCCAGATAGGTTCGGGAACCTCTGAGCAGATATGATGCAGTTCACAATAGACTATACTCTTGATTTGGAATTGACTAACAGGTAGCCCAGAAGACTTCATTTCCTTCTCTGCCTCCCACTTTGCAAACATACACTCCCTGTTTTCCATGTCCTACGTCAGTGAATAACATGCATCTGTGTGTTAGTGTCTAACCCCTCAAGATGTAGTACCATGAGCCCGTAATATGGCCAAATCCTACTGCAAAATGGGGGCCAGAATATATGTACAGGCAGTGAGGCACCTGCACGCCACCGACTCTGGCTCAACCCTTGGCACTGCAGACCATCTCCCCCGGGGCCTGCCTGGGGCCAGCCCTGGACACAGAGCTCTGTGGGGCCCAAAGTGGCCTCCTCTGGCCCCTCTCACACTGGGGGAAAAAAGAAATGTCATAAGACTGTGGGAGTGATTTTCAAGTCTTGATCCACCATTAAGGCTTGAAAATAAACATCCCTGCAAACAGACATGGCGTCACAGCCCGAGGCTTCTTTCTTTTGCAGGACAAGGCTGAGGACAGCTCTTGCTCTGGGAAGGAGGAGGGTTCCGAGCCAGGGCCAAGGGCTCAATTGCCGGACGGTGGACAGGATACCGGGCCCCGGGCTCTGTGCTGGGGGGAGAGTTTGAGTAACTGCAGAACACAGAATAAGCATAGACAGTAATAGTTTTTTTTGTTGTTGTTTATTTTTAAAACTCTTATTTTCTTTTGGCCACACTCTGCGGTGCTCAGGATTTACTCCTGGCTCTACACTCAGGGATCACTCCTGGCAGGGCTCAGGGGACTATATGGGATGCCAGCATCAAACCTGGGTTGACTACCTCTAAGGCAAGCACCTTACCTGCTGTACTGTCTTCTCAGGCCCCTATTTTAAAGCATCTTTATAAATTTAGAATAAGTGTCTTAAAGCCAATTCAGAAATCTTAATGTTGTATAAATTGGAAGAAAAAAGAGGAATGAAGGGAGGAAGGATGAAGGGCAGAGAAGGAAGGAGGAAGGAAGGAAGGAATCCCCAAATATTCAATTTTTTCTTGTTGAAATGATGTACATGTTTGAGTATGTAAAATTGTAATGTTTGAACTTGTTAATTTCCTTTCTTTTCTAGTAAGTCTGATACTGTGATTGTAAATGGAGAAGATACAACATCTTCAGAAGAGGAAAAGGATGAACAAAACATAAATGTGAATAGGATGCATCAAATAAAAGACTCTCATACTTCTAGCAGTTATAAGAATGTTACAAATTCAGAACTGTTCAATGGCCAAATGAATAGTCAGCTGAACGGGTCAGTGAATGGTTCAAATTCTTACAGTAATGATGAAGAAGAGGAGGAAGAAGAAGAAGATGATGATAATGAAGGGGAGGATGAGGATGATGACAACAATGAAAATGACCATGATGCTTTAGATGTTGGAGAAAATTCTATACCAACAATATATTTTTCTCATACTGTTGAACCTAAGCGGGTTGGTATACTTCTGACTTTGTTGATTTTGCATATAATTTGAACCGTAAATACCAGCCACAATACTCTGTAATAGAATAGTTTTAAATATTGTTGTTAGTGCCAAATAAGAAAACCACTCTTTGCCTATTGTTTTAATTAGTTTATCCAGGAAAAAAAAAAGGAAAATAAGTCTAGATGGTATTGTGCATTGTTCTTTAAAGCCACAATGAAATTAGAATTGTTAAGGGTCTTGAGGGGCTAGATTTGAAAGTCAACTATTATATTTACATCTGTTCTTCATTCAAAGAATTTTCTTAAAAATTCTAGAGTTAATTTTATTGTGGGCATTTTAAAGTGTATAGAATGTTAAAAGTGACTGTGTTTGTCAAGTTTCTAATGATATCAGATTGTGTTCTAGGTGTGCACAAAATGAACAGGAAGAGCAAAAGGGAAAAATTTAAGTAGAAGAATTTTTCTGACAAAGTAAATATAAACGTGTGGGTAATCATAACTTTAAAATATTTTAGAAATGAGAGTCGTTATAGTGGTCTTACAGCTTAGGGTTTTCAAGCTCTTTTTCACTATCAACAGGCTATTCTAGAATCCCGTTTTTAAGCCCATGGACCTGTGTATGACTTAGCCGTGTCTGCTTGCATGGATGTGCAGGGCACTGGATTTAATCTCTGGCACAAGTCTGGGGAGGCTGACATCTAAACTACATGGAAACACATTGGCTCTGATTGAAGGATAGGTCTTAAGCTCATTCCTTTGCCCTCTTTACTCAGAAGAAGCCACCAGGAATTCACCTTCTAATTTGTTTTTCTCAAAGAAGCATAATACTTAGAAGACCATAGAGTTGGTTAGTAATGAAGTCAAGATTCCCTTGTCTAAGTTTAGTGCTTTTTACCTCAAGGTGTCTCAGCAGGGATTGCCTTTATCGGATATAAGAATCTGTGGTATCATTTTTAAGTGCCTCTGATGATTACCTAATGAAACATGTTACTTCTTAGATTCCTTGAATTATCTCTTAAGAGAAAGTGAAGTGACTATATGAATTCTGTATTTTAAAACTTTAGACTTCATTCCATTATGCTTTTTTCTTTTAAAAAATTGACTGCTTAGCTAGAAAAAAGTTTGGTTTTGGTGTGTGTGTGTGTGTGTATGTGTGTGTGTGTGTGTGAGTGATTTTTGTTTTTCACCCTTTCAGGCTTTAGATTTTTCTTTCATATAGATAAAATAGGAAGAGTACTATTGTAGTGGTGTTAGGTGGAAGAAAGTCACAGTGTATAAAGGTCTGGTAGAGATAGAAAAACGATCTTTTAATCCTGAACAAAGTGGTATTTATTTTTCAGTCTTGACTTTCTAAAACTTAGAGGTATTTAAAAAAAAGAATCTAAAAAGCAGTTGATACTGTTCTTACCACATACTTGGTTATGATACAGGGGACACACCTGGCTGTGCTCAGGGTCTATTCCTGGTCTGTGCTCAGGAGTAACCCTACGTAGTGCTTAAGGAATCCTTCCTATGCAGTGCTGGAGCTAGTGGGATGCAAGGCAAGTGCCTTTAGCCCTTTTTTCAAACGTTAAGAAAACATTAAAAACATTTAAAAAAATTTTTTAATTTTTTAAATACCCAGCAGTATTCGAAGGAGTCTGAACCACTGCTATGATGCTGAGTCTTCTTGTGAGACCATTCTAGTGGGTTCTAAGTGGTACTTACGGGCCACCAGGGTTATACCTGGTATCGCCCTATCCTGAGGCTTCAGACATACAGACATGTGCTTGACCACTTGAGCTATCTCTCTGGCCCTTTCCCTAGTATTTGTTTTGGTTAATTGTGCCTTTTGTTTTGAAATGCATGCTGTAAGCCACTTCTGTCCAAAGTGATGTGAAAGAATAATAAATCTAGCAGTTTATGTGTATTTTATCTTCTGTATAAATAGTTATACAGTCCTTCCCCCCACAGCAGAGTTTGGCAAACTCCTCGTGGCATATTCCATATATCAAACCCAGTAACAATGATGGGCCTCATTCCCCTGAACCTGAGAGAGCCTCGAATGTGGCACTTTCTAAATCTCAGGACTAGGACGAAGGAGATGTTACTGGTGCCTGCTCGAGGAAATTGTTGAGCAACAGGATGACAGTGATACAGTGATACAGTATAATTAGTTACGGAAGACTAGAATTGGGCATATAAAACTATAATAATGCTTAACTAAATACTGCTATATAAGATAAAGACTTTTTAGCCAAAACCTCTTTGAAAATGTTTATCAAATTTCAGTATCAAAAATTTTAACTCATTATTTTTTTTCTATTTAATTTCTCAATCATTTTTTGGTGTGAAATGTTTAGGTTCGAATAAATACTGGAAAAAATACCACTTTAAAATTCAGTGAAAAGAAAGAGGAAGCCAAACGTAAGCGAAAGAACAGCTCTGGTGGCGGCCATGCTGCCCATGAGCTGCCAATGATCAGGACTCCTGCTGACATTTACCGGTGAGTGTTATTCACAGCAGAGCAGAATACTCCTTTCCCTCTTCTTTTGTAGCTCTGCATTTTGGAAGAAAGTTTGTAACACAAAAGGCTCTCACTAAAAAGTAAGGTATTCTTGAAAAGCATGTGGTGCTAGGGATTAATCTGGGGTTGGCCACATGTAAGACTCCTGTACTTTTTTCCCTTTTTGGGTCACATCCGGCAATGCTCAGGGGTTACTCCTGGCTCTGCACTCCGGAATTAGCCCTGGCGGTGCTAAGGGAACCATATAGGATGCCAGGGATTAAACACTCTACCTGTTTTACTATCACTCCACCCCCTTTCCTGTACTGTTAAAGTCACTGAAACTGTTGTGTTATCATAGTTTAAGTCTAAAGTAATTAAAGTATTTTATGTTTTTATTTCCCTGCCCCTTTTCATCCATTTCAAATGATGATATTTAGTCCAGAATGAATAAGCAAATGATGTTTAGTCCAAAAAAAAAAGGTTAACTTGTGAAATGAAAGTTTGTTTCAGTGAATCAACACATGTTTGTTCCATAGCTGTGGCAGTGATTGACATGTGACTTACCTTTTTCAAATTAGAAATACTTTTTTGTTCAGAAACTTATCATTTTAAATTACTTATTTTGTGGCCCATCTTTATAATACAGTGTTAATTGCTAAACCTTCTGTTAGTAGTTTCAAATTTATATGAAGTTTTGGTAAATCAAACTATTGTCACTCAGAATATGTTTATAAAGTGCTATATTTTAGGCAGCTAGAGAGATAGTATAATAGGTTGCTTGCCTTGCACACAGCCAACCCAGTTTTGATCCCCTGTACCCCATGTGTTTTCCTGAGTCTCCCAGGTATAATTTCTTTTTTTTGTTATTTATTTATTTATTTATTTTTATTAGTGAGACACCATGAGGTACAGTTGTAGACTTACAAAATTTTGTGCTTGGGTTTCCATTATACAATGATCACATACCCATCCCTCCACCAGTGCCCATTTCCCACCACCACAGATCCCAGTATCCCTCCCGCCCCACCATCCGCTCCATCCTACCCTGCCTCTGTGGCAGGGCATTCCCTTTTGTTCTCTTTCTCCTTTTGGGTGTTGTGGTTTGCAAAAGAGGCATTGAGTGGCAATCATGTTTGGTCTGTAGTCTACTTTCAGCATGCTTCTCCCATCTTGGGAGGATCCTCCCAACACCCTTTATTTGGTGCTCCCTTCTCTATCTGAGCAGCCTTTTCCCCTAGCATGTGTGGCTGGCCTCCAAGCCATGGAGCAAAATTCCTGGTACTAATCTTGGCCATTCTTGGGTGTTAGTCACCTATTTTGTTACTTTATGTTCCCCAGAGGAATGCAATCTTTCTATGTCTATCCCTCTCTTTCTGACTCATTTCACTTCCCAGGTATAATTTCTGAGCACAGAGTCAGGGATAAGCCTGAGCACAGCTGTAGCGCATGCTCCCCCATGCCCCCAACCCAACCAAAAAAAAAAGTTTTTAAAAGGTTTTTTTTTAAATTAAATCGAAGGTTATATTTTATAAAATAATTTAAGAATGTCGTTTGATGCTTTAAAATTATTGTGATAAAATTTTCAGTAGCATAATTAGTTTCTAGTTTCTGGAATACATTGTAAACTTATGACCAGTTTTGTGAGTTATCTAAAGTAGGTGTATGTGTATTTTTTTATTACAGAGTTTTCGTTGATGTTGTGAATGGCGAATATATCCCTCGTAAGTCAATCCTGAAGTCTCGAAGCAGGGAGAACAGCGTGTGCAGTGACACCAGTGAAAGCAGTGCCGCCGACTTTGATGATAGGCGGGGCATTCTGAGAAGCATTAGCTGTGAAGAGACCTCTTGTAGTGACACCAATGAGAGTATTTTGGAAGAAGAACAACAAAACCACCCCAAAAAACTTTTGCCTTTATCAGGAGCATCAGAGGTGTGTATAGAAGTTATTTCATTTATAATACAGATTTTGTATTACATCTTTAGCCATTTTTTTCAAAGAAACTCTTTTCCATTTTAAAAAATTAACTGCTGCCATATCTTCCCCAATTTTATTTTGTCCTTATATTATTTCGTATCATGTATTAATTATTAAAGTTTCCCAAATAGGTAGTAATGTTGTCTATTTTGTAGCTTCTTCAGTTTATATACATAGGTTTAATCTCAAAAGTCAGAGGAAAAAATTAATTCTAACCTTTGTACTTTGTAAATTCTACTTTACAAAAAATTAGTAGTCATTAGCAAACACAGTATAGGTGTTGTGATATTAAAATGGTTCAGACTATCCTGCCCTCCCCCACACCTCCCTTTTAGAATCTTGAAGTTCTAAATCTGTGAAATTGGATTTTAGAACCTCAGTACTGGAAATGATAATGTTTGAACTTCAAAACTGGATATATGATGTTTATTATACCCAGACTTTCATTTAAATAAGTTTTTAGAAATAAACTGAACCTCATATCAACATGATGTATTCATTTTTGTATATATTAAATGCATTAAAATATATCTTTCTATTTAAATCACTGTCACGGCCAACTGTCCTCCCATTGCTCATCGATTTGCTCGAGTGGACCCAGTAACGTCTCCATTGTGACAATTGTTACTGTGTTTGGCATATCGAATATGCCCCGGGTAGCTTGCCAGACTCTGATGTGTGGGCGAGATACTCTCGGTAGCTTGCTGGGTTCTCTGAGAGGGACAGAGGAATCGAATCTGGGTCGGCCAGGTTGGCTGCATGCAAGGCGAATGCCCTACCTGCTGTGCTATCACTCATGAGTAAAGTTTATGTTATTACTATTACTAAACCAAACTTTCCCAGGTTTATTTGGCTGATTTCCCCTTTTTACTTAGTTCCCCCTGGAAATCTCCTTAAGTGTCTCCCAGTTACACCACAGACCAGCTGCACTGGCCCCCTGGATTTTCCAGTACTCGGCCTCCCACCAGACCTGGGGTTGGGGTGATCACTCACTTGGGGAACTTCTGGATGTTCCGAAATAGTACAAGTTGTGCTGGTGATAATTGTGGATGATGATTATTAGCCTTTGGGGGCAACATATATGACAGCATAGGTGGTTAGAGTACCCCTCCACCCCCCATCATTTAATGAATTCAGGTGCCCTGGAAATTATTTTATTTTATATTCTTTTATACCGTTAGAAAAAAATGTGATGGGGTTAGATTTTAACTTTTTTTTTTGCATAATAAAAACCAGGCTTCTGTGAGTACTTAATGTATAGCTAGAGTCTAAGTTTGTAGCTTTTTCATGGGGAGAGGGGAGGTACATCCTGCAGAGCTCAGGACTTAATTCTGGCTCTGTGCTCAGGGATCACACTTGGGTCTTAAAGGACCATATGATGTGCTGGGGGGAATTGAACCCACGTAGGCCACATGCAAGGCAATTGCTCTACTCTCTGCACCACCTCTCCAGCCTTTTGCATTTATTATTTATCTATTTTAAAAAGGTTTTTTTTTTGATCCGCGCCACCAAGCCTGCCCGGAGGGGGAAGGGCGTTGACCAGCCCGCCCGCTCCTCTCTGGAAAGAAAGATGGCGGCCGCACGGGAGCCTTGTGGAAAGCGGGTTTGAGCCGGGCTCGGGGGGGGAGCGGCGGGGACCTCATGGGAAGGGGGGCTTTGTGGGCCGTCCCCCACGCCCCACCGAGGTCGCCAGCTGCCCCCCACGAGCGGCTCTCCGGCACGGCCACGGCCCCGGAGGCACAAGGACTTAGCACAGAGAACCAGCCGCTTGGAGCAGAAAAGCAAATGGACTTGTGTTGATCCGCGCCACCAAGCCTGCCCGGAGGGGGAAGGGCGTTGACCAGCCCGCCCGCTCCTCTCTGGAAAGAAAGATGGCGGCCGCACGGGAGCCTTGTGGAAAGCGGGTTTGAGCCGGGCTCGGGGGGGGAGCGGCGGGGACCTCATGGGAAGGGGGGCTTTGTGGGCCGTCCCCCACGCCCCACCGAGGTCGCCAGCTGCCCCCCACGAGCGGCTCTCCGGCACGGCCACGACTCCAGGGCACAGAAACCAATCTCTTAACTAGCTAACTTTTAATAGAAATTCTTCCAGGGTCAATAAGTAAAATAGCAGAAATTCAAAACCGCGCGGCCGCTATTGCGGCCGCGCGACATCATTTTATTCTTAAACCAAGTTGTAGAAAGCAAATCATTTCACAACGCTGTTTCAGCATGTCTGATTGGGGGGGGGGTGGGTCGTAAACTCTAAACAATAATTGTGCATCTTCTATCGAAATAATCTATCTAGTCAAAGTAGATAGAGTATTAACTAGAACTCATCTGCCTCACAAAGAATTGGGAGGGGTGGGAGGTGGGGGTCTATTGGGGTTCGGGGTTAAAAATGAGTATTGGTAAAGGGAAATGTGTTTGGTATCTACATGACTGAGACCTAAACCCAAAAGCTCTGTAACTTTTCCCACAATGATTCAATAAATAAATAAATTTAAAAAAAAAAAATAAAAAAAAAATAAAATTTGAGACCAATAAAAAAAAAAAAAAAAAAAAGGTTTTTTTTTTTTTTTTAAGCAGAAGGCACATCTGGCAGTGTTCAATGCTTACTCCTGGCTCTGTGCTGAAGGATCACTCCTGGCAGGGCTCCAGGAACCATATGGGGTGCTAGGGATTGAACCTGGGTCAGCGGTGTGCAAGGCAAGAGCCCTGTCTACTATACTGCCACTCCTGCCCTGTGGAATTAATTTTTTTGTCAGTGTCAAGAGCCTATATATATATACATATATATATACTTTCATATATTAAAATAGTTCACGATTATGGCATATATATTATGTAGCAGCGGGTAAGGCGTTTGCCTTGCATGTGGCCGACTTGACCAACCCAGGTTTGATTCCTCTGCCCCTCTCAGAGAGCCCGGCAAGGTACCAAGAGTATCTCGCCCACCTGGCAGAGCCTGGAAAGCTACCCGTGGCGTATTCGATATGCCAAACACAGTAACAAGTGTCACAATGGAGACTTACTGGGCCTGCTCGAGCAAATCGATGAACAACGGAATGACAGTGACAGTGACTTTTATATATGAAAATAAATATTCATAGTTACAGCAAGATATCTAAATATTTTTTGTTAATTTTTTTAATCTTTGATACACTGTTTTGTGTCTCTTTTACAAAAGTACTTTCAGTATGATATAACAAGACTGTGCTCATGATACAATGAAGTTTTTTAGAGAAGTAAACAGTTCTTTTTTGAGAGCTGAAATTCACCCAAGGTCTTAAAATGCTATGGGGAAGAAGGGTGGGTGACTTACTAAATATTTCAGGTGGTCTTTACTAATTTTTTATTCTTGATAACTCTTGGGAAGTAAATGATGTGTGCAAGTTTACTGTGAAATTTTACTTTGTTTATAATAAATTCTTAGAAGATTAAAGGTGAGATGTTTTAAGTAACCAGAACTCTTAAAAAATTGTAATAGTTCCTTGATCTTTGTTATAAAATGATAACCTTTGCTTTTGTTTTGGGGCCATATCCAGTGGTGCACAGGCCTTACTCCAAGCTCTGTGCTCAGGGCTCCATACATGGTATCAGTGATTGAAGTTGGGTTGGCTGTTGGCCTTACCATATTTCTCTCTCCTTTCCACTTTCCCCTGCTTTTTGAAAGTTCAAGTTATACTACTTCACTTTTATAAAAAGACCTATGTAGTTTCTGTAACTGAAGAAATCTAAAGCTAATTATTGTCTTTATGCTTAACAAACAAAAAGGAAATGTATTGCTGAGGGATTGTTTTGTGCTCAGAAGCAGGGTGCTTTCCAACAGCAAAAGTAACCCCTCCATGCTTCTTTCCTGGGAATTACTTAACATAGGCACTGTATTTAGTCTATTTTTGCTTTTCGTATATGTTAGTGTTATTTTAGTACTTGTGTGTTTGTGTTGCTTATGGTTTGGCGTAGGTAATCTTTGTGGGCTGGAGAGTATAGCTCAGTGGTAGAGTGCATGCCTTCCTTGAGGCTGTAGGTTCAATCACAGGCTCAATTTATTTTTTCCATAAATCAGTGTTCCTTTTCAACTTATGTAGGAATGTACTTTAAACTTCATGTTTGCTATATTTACATTTCAGTTTTCAGAGGGCTACTTTAGTTTTGGATAGCAGGATAACCTATATATTCAGATATGGCCTTGTTTATGTTTCTAGAATTGCATATACATTATTTTGTTCTAGTTAAATGTATAGAACAAACTATATCCTTAGTAAACATTCTGTTGAAATTGAAGAGTCGTGTGTGTGTGTGTGTGTGTATGTGTATGTATGTGTGCAACCTCTAGTTTTCATTATTGAATTAATTCAGTTTTGAGGTGGATGCTTATTTCTACTACAACAAGCACTTAAAAGTTTTCATCTGTTTCTAAAAGAAAATTGAACATGAGCCTAGAAAGTATTTCAGATATTGTATACATGGAGACTACCTATGAGAATTCGCCACTCCTGAAACTAGCCTGTTAGCAAGAAGGCACCATGCCCTCCATAGGATAACTTGTTCATCAGATGATTTTGGCAGCCTAATAGCTTTTTTATTTTAATGCAGGTTTCACAATGTGGTCTGAACATAAATGATAATTTTAGAAACTTTCATTTACTTTTGTTTAGTGTAGATCTAAAATTTGTATTACATTGTTTTCTTTCATGTGCAATGAAAGTATTTGGGTGTAAATGCATTTTAAGGGCATTTTTCTAGCAGTTTGTAATTTTTGAAATATAATTTGTCTTTGGGCTGGAGTGATAGCACAGAGGGTAGGGCGTTTGCCTTGCTCGCGGCCCACATGGCCGACCCAAGTTCGATTCCTCTGTCCCTCTCAGAGAGCCTGGAAAGCTACCGAGAGTATCTCGCCTGCACGGCAAAGCCTGGCAAGCTACCCATGACGTATTCGATATGCTAAACACAGTAACAAGTCTCACAATGTTACTGGGCCCGCTCGAGCAAATCGATGAACAACGGGAGGACCGTGACCGTGAATTTGTCTTTATTGAAAAATACTAGGAATTTACCCCCCCCTTACTTTTTTGGGGGTGCAGGAAGGATTTGGGTCAAAACCAGCAGTGCCCGGGGAATACTCCCGGCTCACTGCTGGGGGGCATGTGGTGCCAGGGAGTGAACCCAAGCGTGTGTTTTAGCTTCTGAGCGATCTCCTGGCCTCTCAGTTTACTTTAGTGAAACGTCTGATTGACAAATACAGGATTAACTTTTTTTTTCTTTGTGAGCATCTTATTTGCAGTCATTACTGTAATTTGACTTTTTGTCTTCTAGGCTTTTTCTGGGACTGTAATAGAAAAAGAATTTTCGTCATCTTCTTTAATACCACACACAGCCACGGTTCACCCTCTGCTGCCCACCATACCAGAACGAAAAGAAGTTCTATCAGAAGCCTCAGAAGAAACTGCAAAGAGGGTCTCAAAGTTCAAAGCTGCCAGATTGCAGCAGAAGAACTAGGAAATGGGAATTTACATCCTAAAACCTAGTTTTATATTTGAATATATGTATTATGTATATATGCATAATATGTATATTATGTAATTTGAAATAAGACATTCTGAGTTTATTTGGCAGCCGGGTCTCTTATTCTTATCAGTGACATTTAAAAAAAATCAAAGTAAATGTTTGAATACTTTAATATTCAGCTTGTTTTGTTAATTCTCTAAATACTGTCAACACTCTTGTCTAAGTTTTCCTTATGATGCAATGGCAACATTTTGAATTATTTTTCAAAGAATACTGTTCTTATGCATTGTTTTCGTTTCAAACTAAATACAGGCAGTTTTGTACCAGCTGTGATGTTGTGCATACCATATGGACCATTCTAAAGAAACTTTTAAAATTTCAAGTAGAGCCAACAGTTACGTTACTTGCTTTAGTATTTTAAGGCACTTTAAAAAAAATCTACTTTTTGTAGATTTTGCAGCTAGGTGACTATTTAAAAAAAAAAGTCTCTCCCCTTTAACTGCCATTCTGTAATCTCATAAGGCAGAAAGCTTACATGTACCCCAGGGGAAAATTTCTTTGACTGGAAGAATGCTATTTTGTAAAACATTTTTTTCAAGTAAAGATTTTATTAAACTTGGTATCTAAAATGTTGTGAACTTTTTGATTCAGAATTAGACATACATAGAAATGTCTTTCATTCATATTTATGGCACCACCTTGGATTCAGTAATTCATTAGAAACTACTTTTCTACTCTGTGTTGTTGTTACCGATGTTATAATTTTGAGAGAAAGGTTGTCTAAATGCAAAAATTTTTTTAACAAAAAATTTTGTTTTCATCTTTTCAACATTTTCATTCAAAGGATTCTTTCTTAATAATAGTAGAAGGAACATACTTTTATCAAAATTTCTTAAAATAATGAGAAATTTATTCTTTTTAATTTCCTCATAAAAATTACACTGTGTTAATCATTATTAGCTTGATGCATGCTAAAATGTAGCTTTTAAAAAGCATTCCGCATTAGTACTAAAATAAGCCATCAATGCCAGTCCACCCTCTATTCATGGCTAAAATATTTAAAGGTTATTTATAGCTTCTTTAATGAATTCTTGCTTAAACAAAGTGAAATTATGTCCTTGAAAAGCAGAAGCTGTTTGTTACTGGAACAGCACAATCGTAAGTTTTATGAATATGTATTTTAATAATAGGGGTGAGTCTGAATCCCCATAAATTTATGGTTAATTAATTTAGAACAGAAGACTGATTTTTAAAGATAGCCTAAAAGTTTTTGCTAGTAAAGTTTGATCAACTGTGCATATATTTATAGTTTAAAGGTTTTTTTCACTTATTCTGTTGTCCACAAAACCTACCACCACCACCATACCAAAAGTAGTCACATATATACCACAAGAGCTTCCAATTCCAGTTGCTATTCAAGTGAACCTTTCTATACTAGAATTTTTTCCCCCTGTAATAAACTTTATTGCTGAACTATTGAGGTATTGTTACAGAAAATAATTTCAAGAGTATGGTCATTTAAAATAATTTTTAATTTTATGAACTTTAACCTGCTGTTGATACAGTTTGTTACTTGAAAATAATTTCCTCATAGAACAAGATGGTAGTAGAAGTAGAGTTGATGTTTTTCTATGTTTTGCTAAAGATCAAATGAGATATTGATGTCCCATTTCATAGCTTCAGTCATATAACAAAGATTCAGATTGTAAGATAACTATAGCCTTATTTTTCTTATTAAATTCCTGTGTCAGTGAGATAAAATAAAGCTGGTTTTAAGTACTCTCTGTTTTAAAGTATTGTAAAACAGAAGAGCAGACTATTTTTTTAACTTTACATTGAACCAAATTTAGAAATATAGAAAAATTGCAGAAATAATAGTTTCCACGTACCTTACCATTCAGTTTCCCATTATATTATATATGTTATATATATGTATTAGATATACATATGTGTGCTATATATGTATATGCATCTGTATTATATGTATTATATGTACATATGTATGTATAATACACATACACCATTATCTATAACCATAACACAGTTATTTGGGCTGGAGCGATAGCATAGCAGTAGGGCGTTTGCCTTGTGCCCAGCCGGCCCAGCCAAGCTGGGTTCGATTCCTCTCGGAGAGCCCGGCAAGCTACTAAGATTATCTTGCCCGTGACGTATTCAATATGCCAAACACAGTTACAACAAGTCTCTTGATGGAGATGTTACTGGGCCTGCTCAAGCAAATCGATGAACAACGGGAGAACCGTGACTGTGACACAGTTATTCAAACCAGGACATTCCTTTGGTGTAATACTGTTACTAGATTACTTAAATTTTACCAACTTCTTTGCTGGTATTCCTACTCTCTTTTAAGAATCCAATCAAGATCCTAAGCATTTTGTATTGCTTCTCGGTCTTTCCCAGTATGCCCGTTCTTGCTTTTCCTTTCTCTTTCATAACGTAGCATTTTTGTACAGTTATCAGGTATTTTATAGGATATTTCTTGTTGTCTATATTCTTGTGAGGTTTTGTCATTTGGGCAGGAATGCCAGAAAAATGCATCATATTTCAATATGTTAAGTATGATGTGCCTGATTTTTCTCTGATGTTACTATCCTTTGCAGTTAATAACTATCTTGCAGGATATATAAGTTTATAGGTACTCTTTTCCCAAATTTTAGCCTGCTAATTTTTGTCTCAGTTGGCGGATCTCATCTGTGACAGTTACTAACTGTGATGTTTGTCTAATGCTGATTTAAAAAATATTTTTGCCTCTTCTACATTTATTTCTTGGTATTCTTTGTAATGAAAAGATGTGCTCTCATTTCCCTTAATTAATTTCAGTATGGACTTGGGTTTTATTCTAATCCAGTTATTGCTTTGTTTGCTCAAATTATATTTTGACCATTAGGAAGTACTTTGAGCTGTATCTGAATTTTTTCAACATGACCATATTCTGTCTTCAATACATTCTTTTGACAACACAAAACTACTATATGTTTATCTTTTTTATTTATTTATTTATTTTTTGGCCTTGGTCCTGGAATCAGCTATTTCCCCAAGAAGCCCTTGATTTTTTTTTTTAATTGTAGAATGGAGTTTAAAAAAAGTCTCACATACATATGTATATTGCCACTTGGGTGTCATTGCTTCTAGCCACTTTTACTGGCAATAGCTAGGAAATGATGTATTTTTATTTGTGCACTCTGGTGTGTATGTTTATACACAATTATGATAAACATCATGATTTAGTTCAGTTTTTTTTTTTTAGCTTTTTTTCCTCCCAGTAGAAAAAAACCTGACTTTCGATCTGCCATGTATTAATCCTTTTTAAATCTTGTAAACACCCCAAAGTTTCAGGTGTTAATTCTTGTCCCCAGGAGAAACAAAATTATTAACTGTAACATATTTATAATGTAAGTTACATTTATATTTAGTTACTTTTTTGCCCTTTTTGTTATGACTATACTGATTTTTAATACTGTTAAATCCATTTGTTACTATTTGTCTTCTGTTTAGTGTTCTCATTTTGGTTGTTTTTTGTTTTTGATTTTGTTTTTTGTTTTGTTTTGAGGCCACTCCCTGTGTTGCGTAGGAATTACTCCCTGCTTGGTGCATGGAAGGGGGGTTCTCCCTGACTGTGCTCAGTGGACCATGCAATGCTGGGGATCAGATCTGGGCCTCCTGCTTACAAAACATGTGTATACTCCACTGTTACCTCTCTGGTTCCATTTTGATTGGTTTTAGTGATTTGCTCCAGCGGTATATGAAAGATGTGTGAGACGTTAATGTGGTTTTGAAAGTTATATATAAAGACAGAGAAGTGTCACTCCTTTGTTGCTACCTCATATTTATCTTCTCTCAGTTCCCCCATCTAATCACTGTAAGTCACTAGTCTCAAGTTTCTGGTTTAGTTTTTCTGTATTTCTTTAACACAAATAGTTATGAAGCAGGCTATTAAGTTTAGATTTTATCTGGATCCTCTTACACCGCTCTCTGACCACTTCTGACTCCATTCTGAAATCATAAGAATAATAGAAATAACATGGATGACCTGGTCAAAATTGGAAGAAACAGAAGGTAGAGAAGTTGCCTGCACCCTGACCTTTTAATTGTATTATAATCTGATTGCAGTGAAATTACCGTAAACTGTCCTCCTTTTATCATGCAGCTAACACCATGTCAGTTCAGAAAATAACCATACGTGATATACAAAAGGCAAGGTGGCCCCATGCCTAGAAATCACTATGAAGCCAGCTTTCCTTTTTCTTTTTCTTTTTTTTAACATCATAGATAATACCTTTATTATTATTAATCACTGTCACTATCCTCTCGTTGTTCATCGATTTGCTCGAGCAGGCAGGCCCAGTAACGTCTCCATTGTGACACTTGTTACTGTATTTGATATATCAAATACGTCACGGTAGCTTGCCAGGCTTTTCCGTGTGGGCGAGATACTCTCGGTAGCTTGCCAGGCTCTCCAAGAGGGGCAGAGGAATTGAACTCGGGTTGGCCATGTTGGCTGCGTGCAAGGCAAACGCCCTACCCGCTGTGCTATTGCTCCAGCCCTATTATTTTAATAGCATTTTAAAAATTGAATCACAATAGATACACAGTTACAAAACTGTTTATAATTGGGTTTCAGTCATAGTGGTCTAATACCCATCCTTCCACCAATATACATTTCCTACTATCAATGTCCAGTTTTCCTCCTCCCAACCCCCCTTCCCACCTCCCACCCCCATGCTTCATTGGCAGGCACTTTTCTTATTTCTCTTGCTCTCTCTTTCCTTTTGGGCATTATGGTTTGCAATACAGGTACTGAGAGTTTATCATGTTTGTTCCTTTACCTACTTTCAGCACTTAGTTCTTCTCCAGAGTGATCATTTCCAGTTATCATTGTCACAGTGATCCCTTCTCTATCCCAACTGCCTTCTCCCTGAAGCACTTGAGGCAGGCTTTCAAATGTGGTCCAGTCCTCCTGGCCTTTGTATCTACTGTCCTTAGATATTAGCCTCACACTATGTTATTTTATATCTCACAGATGAGTGCGATCATTCTATGTCTGTCTCCTGACTCATTTCACTCAGCCATGTCCATCCACTTATAAGCACATTTCACAACTTCATTTTTCTTGGTGACTGTGTAGTATTCCATTGTGTAGATATGCCATAGTTTCTTTATCCAGCCATCTGTTCTCAGGCATTTGGGTTGTTTTCCAGATTCTGGCTATCGTGAATAGTGCTGCAGTGAACATAGAAGTGCAGATGTTTTTTCTGCAGTGTGTTTTTGGGTTCCTGAGATATATTCCCAGAAGTGGTATTACTGGGTTATATGGAATCTCAGTTTCTAGTTTTTTGAGGAATACCCGTATTGTTATCTAAAAAGAGGGGAGCAGTTGACATTCCCACCAACAATGAATCAGATCATTGAATCAGACCTTTCTCCCTGCATCTGCAACAGCACTGGTTGTTCTTGTTCTTTTTGATGTGGGCCTGTTTGTGGTGTGAGATAATCTCGTCGTTTTGATTTGCATCTCCTGTTGATTAACGATGTAGAGCATTTTTTTATATGCCTTTTGGCCATTAATCTAGAGGCCAGCGTTTGGGAAAAGTTTTTCTTTCTCATGAATATC